GAAAAAGACAAAAGACAAAAAAAAAAAAAAAAGAGATTGTTGATAAAATATAGACACTATGTATGGCTTCCTTTGTTTAAAAATATATGGTGAATGATTATATATATATATATATATATAAATAAATCTTTTGAAATGGCTTTGACTTGAAATATCACATAAAAAACTTGAAAGAGGCACAGATAATTTTACTGCAGGGAAAACCTCTATAAAAAGCTTTTTACCCCTCTCCCTATTGTCAGTCCTTTGGCTAGGAATAAAGTTTTGATGATCTTTAAATCCTGAATGGGTGCTAGTACGTAATTATGTCAAAATAAATCACATGACAACTTCCTGTCTTAGACAAAGTCAGTATTTTTTGTCAGTGTTGCAAGTAGATACTAGATCATGTTTCTAGATTGTGCTTACTGGATTAAAAAAAAATGGATCCTTCTGCATTTCATTTCCTCACTGGTTAATTGAGGAATTATTATAATGTATTTTACAGAAGGAAGTTAGGCAAATGGCCACTGGAAAAAACCCAGTGCCAGGTGGGTGGGTTTGACCCTAAAGTTTGAGGCTTTGGACCTAAATTTCAGGCTAGAGAACTCTGAAGTGTGATTATACACTAAATAAGGATTATACCATAGGGATCTATCCCTCCATCTTTGTCACATCCTGTCTGTGTCCCACACTTAGTAGTAGAAGATAAAAATAGAAGAGAAACCAAAAAGCTTACTAGACTGCTACTTTCCTGCAAATCCTATTGCTGGTCATAGGGAAAGTGATAATGAAGATAATGAAAAGGGTCTGAATTCAGCCCAGTCTTTTGTCATCAGGATCTGAGGAGTGCCCATGTCACTCCAGTCACAGAAAATACTATGGGAAATTACCTCAGATGGGTGTTTATTCAGTGAACTTACTTCCTTAAAACGATTTAAGATTAGATAATTGTCTTTTTTTTGAAAAGCCACCCAAAGTTTGTCATCACAGTATCCTAAAACAGTTTTCTGTTTTAATGACCTTAGAAATCAAATAATATCTTATACCTCATTTTGTCCTCCGAATATAATTCAGCTTTTATGGCCTGGTCTGCCATATTATATATAATACAGGTACATCCTTAGGTATAAAGCAAGGGTCCCTTGCTATTTGTTGGATTCACAAAAGATGTTTCACTGCATAAGGACTTTATTAGCCACATAGTTCAGAAACCTGAGTTCTAACTATGGGGGTTTTGCACCAAAAAAAAAAAAATGGAAATTGTGTCTGTCCATGAAGGATTTAGGCAATTTCCTTCAGTTTGAATCCTGCTGATTACAGAAGAAAATTGATTTGTTTTCTTTTTATATTAACTCATTACATAACTTATGATTATTAGTAATTTCTTTTATTAGGTTGTTTTCCTCTTTCCTCGTGAATTCTGGACCCTATCACACATACGCACCTCACCCTCTTCATTTATTTTCATTGTTGTGCTCTGTCATGTTTCACGATACCCTTTTAAATTGTGGAGACAAGTACTCCATTCAGGAGACATACAAGCGTCCCACCTGTGCCAAGAATAGAGGAGAGTTAGAGAAGACTCTCAGTAGTGTCATTTGTGGAGTTCCCAGGATGACAAGGCAAGGGTCTGTGAAAGCTGCTCAGGTCAGGTGTTTCTGTGGTGTTTGCTGCCAGGAAGTGTCCTCAGTTGTGGCATGGAGGACCTAGATAGCTGTGTGCGCTCGGGGTAAGTTTGGTTTCTCAGGCTTTCTGGGGCTTCTAAAAAGCAAGCCTGGTTATGGCCTCCACGGTACAGTAATCCTAGCCCTTCCGTGAGGGTCCCTGGAATCACGGCTCTATGAATCACTTCCAGGTCACTAGTCACCTCAGCCTTTCCACTCTCCCTTGTTTTACATCCACAAATCCTCAAATGTGTGCACAACTTGGATAAGGTATTTTTAAACTTCAGGGGCTTCCGGGAGGATTTTTATTCCCTGCCTGATAAACCTCTCAGTGGGGCACCGAGTAGGTTCCCAGGGCATTTGCTTCCCTCTGGGTGGCTGCCCGGTTCTGGATTCTGACTGAAAATTTTTGTCTCATAGGGTGCCACCTGTGGAAATGAAGCGGAGAAATAAGATCCAGCCTTGTTTATCAAAGCCAGCTTTTGCCTCTCTCCTGAGGTAAAAATATACAAAAAACTGTGACATACAAAAATGNCCGTATAAAGTGGACACTCCTTATTTGAGGAAGAGCTTGAATATCCTGTCTCTTTTTTGTGCTTTTAGTCAGAGCTCTGCATGTATTTTAAGAAAAGGCATTGAAGAACTCAATCAAACCAGTATTCTTTTCACACAGGTGAGATTAGAGAGGCCTATTTGTGTTCAATTATAAAAAACTGAACTGTTCTTTAGGGTTTTATTTTTCCCACTTGTTGTTCCCATGTTATTTTTCACCCTTATCATTTTGTGTTTTCTTCTCCCTTGCCTCTAGGTTAAACTTTATGATTAGACATTTTCCTTGACNTGACTTTTAATGAACCACACGGAATGCAAATAATGATTAATCTACATAGGATGTAAATAATGATTGTTCATTGTGGTTGTCAGAACTTGTATAGAATTTACTCTTTTATCCACAAATGCTCTTTTCCTCTGTCATCTCGACTTTGACAGATCACTGGTCAAAATGCTTCCAGATAATAAGAAATAAATTACAGTCTGGTCTAGACATGTTTAATTGTGTAAAACAGGTACAAGCTATTCAGCATGTTTTTCACTAAACATCAAGAATTCATATTTTCTTTTCTTCCTGTTTTCTTTTATTATATTACTGCTCCTTTCCATTTCTGGTTCTTAACCCATTTGGGCTATAGATCCTTTAAAATCAGTCAGTTCTCTGGAAAACTGCAGATACATAAATCTTTTTTTGCATATGATTGCAGGCGAATCAAGGCTACTTGTAGTCTGTCCATAAATGTGTGTACAGTTAGGGCCACTGTAAGCTAGAAGAACGTTTCTAAACTTTTTTGACCATGACTCTTTGGAAGAAATANGCCACTGTAAGCTAGAAGAACGTTTCTAAACTTTTTTGACCATGACTCTTTGGAAGAAATATATTTTGCTTTGGATAAAACCTAGTACACACATATTTATAAGAAAAATAAGAATTTTTACCCATACTCTTCCAACTATGCTGTGTTCTTTTCTATTCACTTTTTAAAAATATGCTGATCATGACTCAGAATTGATTTCATAAGCCACCTATGTGTTGAACAGTGCAGTTTAAGATGCTGCTCTAGAATCAAGATACTCTATAACCTGAGTGAAAAAAAAAATAGATATTTCCTTTTTGAGAAAACCCAAAAGAAATAAAGTATTTATGTAGAATGGCCCAGCAGGTGTTTCTCCAGTTTAAATGACAAGTAGATCTTCATTTGTCATCTGAGC